CCTCCTTCTCTTCACAGCACAAGCCAGCCAAAACTAAGCTGTTTTAAATCCTATTAGCACTGAGCTTTCCAAGGACTTGCCTCCCTCCCATTAAGGCTGTAAACTGCCAAAGCCAGCATCCATTCAAAAAAGGAATAATTTTGCTATTTGTCTCCTCGCTGGGAGAAAATGGTCAAACAGTGTGTAGTTTGTGAAGGCTATTCAAAGTTAGGCATTTATTCTGTTCAAAACGAAATGTACATTTTGTTTGTGCGGAAAGCAACGTTACTCTTTTCTGAGCAGATAATGCAGTTTTCCATCCAAGAAACGTTTGTTTTGCAACATACACACACACCTACACTCAAAACCTCATGTGCATTTTTTTGTGCAAAATAAGTCCCAAACTGCAAAGATTATTGCTCCTTGTCAGGGGTTTCTGACACTGAAGAACTCCATTTTAAAAAAATATTTTTGAATGTTTTAGAATTTTCATTCCATCCCTAATGACAAGATGGGGAAAGATTTTTGTTTTCTTTTATTTTTGGTTTATGTCCAGCACTAAGCCTGTCTTTGCACTTCCATCTTTGACCTTCCTTAGTAATTGCTCCAAGTTTGTGATGTTTCCTGCTAGTAAGATGGTGACTTTTTTCTCTACCTCACTCTTTTTATTCTGTCTTTCAGACTTACAGCTTCTTCCTTGAGGTTTCCACATCCACTGGGCCATTGGGAGACATAGGTACCCACTTTCTAGACTAAGTGGTTCCTAACCTTTTCTATGCCCCAAACCCCTAGGAAATGCTTGCTTAATGTTTGCAGACCCTACAAAAGCAATATCACATTTGACCATGAAGAAGTCTTATTTCTAATTTCTGAACCACAAAATGAACCATATACAATACTGTGAGTGAACAAACTGAATGTTAAAAACAAAAGTTAAAAACCAAAGTGGGGCATCACTTCTTTAACCAGCTTCAAAGCTGAGTTAAAGACGATACTGTTCAGAGAAGTGTTTGCAGGCATTGCATGATGATTATTTGATGTTTTTAATTTGTTGCCTTCTTTGTATTAATATGCTCTATTTTATCATTTTGTAGAAGGTACGCCATCAGCAGGCTTTTTAAATCTATTTTTATCTATTCTATTGACTATGTACAGTGCTGTGTAAATCTACAGCGGTATAGAAATTAATAATAATAATAATAATAATAATAATAATAAACATTTTTTGCAAATCTAAATCTAGATAAAATGCAGATCTAAATTGAGCAATTAGATTCTAATTTGTTCAGAAAAAAATTGTAAACAGTAAAAATCCCAATTGTGAACGTACAGTTCAATGACTTCTATGCTCTCATTTGTGTTTTTGTCAAAATGTAGAGCTGTAAAACGAAGACCTGCGATGCGCAGGTCTGCATGAAGATTCTGGATTTTGGCTTGACTGAAAAAAAAAGAACTGAATCTAGATTTATACAAGTATCTTCATCGCAGCCCCTGAAATTTCACCTCACACTCCTTGGGAGTGTTGGCACCCCAGGTTGTGAAGCCCTGTTCTTGGCTGAGCTAGAGACACCAGCTTTTCAGATTTGGTGGTGCTCTGACTATTCATCTTGAATTGTCCCTGTCACCTTGAACTGTATATTCAAGATATTCTGTGGTTGTTTTTTATGGACTTTTTTAACTGCTTGTATCCTTCCATCACAGATGGCACTGAAAAGCCTCCTTTCAGCAGCAAAAAGGATGGCTCATCCTTTAAAGAGTGATTCATAATGATCTGTTATAATAAGCAGGTTTCTGACTTGTTCAATTCGTAATTGAAGCACACAATGAAGCAGATAGGAGCTTGGTGCTCCTTAGACCATCCCCCAGTTGCATAGTATGATGTTCAGAAACAGATTTGTCAAGGCTGCCAATGCAACACACACAATCACAACCAGCAGTTCTTTATGACTGAGCCACCACTTAGTTTTCTTCTACTGTTTAGTGAATTGGGGCTTGGAAATTCAGGACTGCTGGAGCTGACATCTTAAGGCTACTAAGGAAGACAAGTACATTGTTTGCAGTGCTTCCTACATCTGTAAGCCAAGATCTTCCATTGAGGCTGTGTATTTTCAATCTCCACCTGTGGATTTACAACTTACTTGTGTGATCCTTGTGTTGAATGGCAATGTTGCATAACCAAATGCACAATGAAATGTGCGACGGAAGAAGTGAGCAATGTGATGCAGCAGCTAAGAAAGCCAATACAATTCTAGCCTGCATCAATAGGAGTATAGAATCTAGATTGAGGGAAGTAAAAGTACCACTCTATTCTGCTTTGGTCAGACCTCTCTTGGAATACTGTGCACTACAATTCAAAATGGATGTTGACAAGCTGGAACGTGTCCAGAGGAAGGTGAGCAAAATGGTGAAAGATCTGGAAACGATGCCCTATGAGGAGCTGGGTATGTTTAGCCTGAAGAAGAAAAGATTGAGGTGACATAATAGCCATGCTTAAATATTTGAAAGGATTTCATATTAAGGATGGAGCAAGCAGATGTAAACAACAGGAAAAGAGATTCCACTGAAACATTAGGAAGAAATATTCAAGGGGATGTCATACTGAAGACAGATCAAGCTTGTTTTCTGCTGCTCTAGACACTAGGACATGGACCAATGGATGCCAATAACATCCTCTGAGGCTGAGAGTGTGTGACTTGCCTAAAATCACTCAATGGATTTTATGCTTGAGCAGGAAATTGAACCCTAATCTCCAGAGTTGAGGTTTAGTCTTTGGTAAAAGCATCCTGGCTCTCTTTGTTCAGCTTGAGGAATGGAAATAATATTATGATATGATATGATATGATAGCCAGAAGATGGTGCTCTGGCTGATTCTTACTGTAAGTTATCTCCTATTATTTCCCCCCATTATTTTTCTATCTTTCCTCACACAGTGAAGCTTTCCTATCAGTTGGGGGTAAGTGTGAGAAGAGGATCGGAGATTAGCTGCCAAGAGGGAGAAATAACAGAGATGAACAACAGAAGGAAGACAAAAGCTAATTGCTCCTTGCGTCTCTTAACTTCCAATCACCAGGAAAATTTACCTGCAAGAAAGATTACCAGAAAGAGCAGAGAAGATTTGGAAAACTCTTGCAGAGAATTATTTTGTTAGCACCCATGATAATTATATGGCGGCAGGTATTTCCTAAAATCCCTCTCTAGCTTTTAAGATTACAAGAGAGATTGCTGGCCAACAAAGAATACACTGCACTAATGGGCACCATATGGTTGTGTTGAAACATACTGCTGCTACAGAGAGAAAAAAGAAAGGAAAAGGAAAAGGAAAAGGGGAAAAAAAAGTCAGCTTGCTTCAACAATATATGAGTCAAGGCTCTTGTTTCTCTCTCCTTAGGAAAGCGGCTGCCAATTTTAATTCGTACCCAGGTGAGCAATTTAGACTGCCTGGGAAAGGTCAGAAATAACTGTGATCTGTGTGCTCATTTTTCTGGGTGGTTGGATATGATGAATTCCCCTCAACACAGAGACAAACCACCCTATTTCCAGATGCATGGGGGGAAGTCTGCAGCTGACCCCTCCATCAATGTTGCATAGGAATGATCTTCACATTTGGGATTGTTTTGTATGGCAACACTGTAGAACTGAAGGTGAAACTGGATACACAATGGGATGTATGATTACCACATGCCCTTTCACACTGCCAATTATAGTGCCATCGTTCCATTTTAATGGTCATGATTGCACCCTAAGGAATCCTGGAGTTTGTAGTTTGGTAAGGCACTGGAACTCTTTGGTTGAGAATTTTCATGCCCCTTCCTACATTGCAAATCCCAGGATTTCATAGGACGATCTCATGGTAGTTAAACTGATATTATACCACTATAATTGTGTAGTAAGGGCTCCAGGCGCACAACTGGATGCACATCTGTTTGTCTAGGTTACAAATCTGTAACTGAAATAAAGGATGCCAGCCAACTAACTTGAATGCCATTGATTTCACTGGGTCTAATCTAGGTAGGGCTAATGTTACATTTGAAATCGCATTCATAATCCATTTTACTAGTCCCAAGAGAGACATGAAATGAGTTGGGCTCAATAGAAAATTTGCCTTTTGCTGCACAGGGGTAAGCTGTGAAAAAATCAGTCTGCAGCAAAAATATGACAGAAATTTTCCTACTCGCTCCAAATGCTTGAAACAACTGTGTAAAAGAATCATGTAGAAACACAAGGAGAAGGTTCAGTGTATGAGTTTACAAACGAGGGCATGATGTGCTTGAAAAATGTTAAAAGAGAAACTGGGAAGCTTCCCTGAGTTGAGAGGTGGGTAAATGGGTGGGGACGGTGAAGAATGATGGCTGAACCATCATTTGACTTGATAGATGTGACAGCTGTCAATCAAAGTGAAATAAGCAGGAAGAAGGCAGACTTAACAGATGGCATGAAAAATCCACTTTGACCCCCTTAAATACTATGGCTGAGATCCTGCACCAGAGCATCTCATGATCAAGCTTCTGGAACCCATCTTGAAAGTCAGTCAACCATCCAAGCAACAGATTTCTGCAGCACTGGTGATCAGGGCACTGCAGGATGATCTGACCAGTCACAGGATTATAGAATCACAGAGTTGAGAGGGACCCCAAGGGCCATCCAGTCCAACCCTATTCTGCCTTGCAGGAAGACATAATCAAAGCACTCCCGGCAGATGGCCATCTCTTTTAAAAGAAAGAGTGACAGTCCAACAAAGTATGACAGGACCCACAGAGCTCCCTGCTTGTTTCTTGCACCATCACTCTTTGTCAGAAGGGGGCTCTTCTCATCATCCTGTAGCACCCTGCTCACCAGCACCGCAGAACTCCATTGCTTGGAATGGCTGGTTGGCTTTTAAGGTGGGTTTTAGGGCATTTACAGTCCTGGCAATGGTGTCGGTGTTGTTGTGTTCCTTCAAGCCATTTCTGACTTATGGCGATCATAAGGCAAACTTAATGCAGGGGTTTCTGGGGCTGTGTAACTCACCCAGTGGGTTTCCGTGGCTGAGTGGGGAATTGAACCCTGGTCTCCAGAGTCACAGTCCAATGCTCAAACCACTACACCACGCTGGTGCCATAATAATAAGCATGATTAGGAAACAGTTACGTAGTTGTAAGTCTAACTTCTGTCATCATAAGTGTTGATCAGGATGCCAACCACTATCTCTGTCTAAACCATTTGAAAGAAACAACTTAGAGAAGCTTCTCTTTTTGGACTTCAACCCTCAGAATCCTACAGCTGGCATGGTCTCTGGCTTTGCTAGTTGAGGGATTCTGAGTTGTAGACAGGAAAAAATGAACTTGTTCCTCCTGCATCTTTAAAGCTTCAGTAGTTTTCTGTCACAGGTATAAAATCTCTCTTTCTGGAAAAAAAGCCTTCATATTTGATCAAAATTACTTTTATATGATGCAAAACAGAATCAAAAGAAAGTGTTGCATGCAGCCTTTGCCACCATCCAACAAATAAGCTTAGAGCTTGGGAAGGTTACTTTGTAACCATTCTACTTGGAGGATTCTGGGAGTTGTAGTCCACAGAAGTATTCTTCCCCCGGATTTGGCATCTGATTGCTTTTTTAGTCAGGGATCAAGCAACATAATTTGGATTATAACTCTGGAGACCAGTGTTTGAATCCTCACTTGGCCATGAAAAACCCCTGGGCAAGTTATATTCTCTCAGCCTCAGAGGAAAGCAAAGGGAAACCCTCTTTGAACAAATCCTGCCAAGAAAACATTGTGACAAGTTGTTAGATCACCATAGGTCGGAAACAACTTGTTGTTGTTAGCTGCCCTCCAGTTGGTTCTGACTCCTGGGGACACTGTGGATGAGACATCTCCAAGAATCCCTATCTTCCACTGCCTTGCCCAGATCCCACAAGCCCTTCCCTGATCGAGTCTCAAAAGCAGTGACCTAAAACAACTGAAGAGGGACATGTCAGAGGAAAAGAAAGCAAGATGCAGATGGGTTAAGCACTTCTTCCATCCTATCCTTTTTTATGTCCTCACCAATGGTACTTTCCAAAGGAGTGGGTTTTTTTGGGTGCAAATGAATTTTTCACATACAAAAATTCAGAAATGTAAAAAATCTCAGAACTGTCTGTCTCATCGAGGATAAGAAATTTTTTGAGTATGCTTCACATACCTGCTGATGAATATGGGGAAATGATATAGAATCATAGAATCATAGAGTTGGAAGAGACCACAAGGGCC